GAAGTCACAAATCAGCTCGCTTTGCATGGCGTCTTTGCGTTTCCGTCTACGATGGCTGGTGGACTTGGCTGCAACGCATGTTAGACAGTCTGGATGAAATGGAAAATGACCCTGCATACGATGTTCCTGCAACTTGTCCAAATTCTTCCTATCCTTTCTCAAAATGGATGGATGACTATGCTCACCGCTCTCCACCTGCCTGGAATCATCAGGACCTGCCAGAAAAGGTGAATTGGAAACATCTGCATCGAGTTCGGTTGCGTGATTGGGCTCAAAATCATAGTCAAACGGCTCGCTGGAAAACTGAATTCGTTCAGCCTCCAGCTGATCACGTATGGAAACTTCATTGGGGTTCGGATTCAAAGTGCTAGAAACGGCTGCGGGATCCAGTTCTCGGATATCCGTATCCGCTGAGCGCTTTGTTGTCATTACAAATGGCTGGTCTTCAAATGCAAGCTCTTCGGAATTCACCATCTTCTCAACCGATTTCCTTTCCAAACTTTTGTCACTTGGCACATCGATTGGCATGTGTTTGCTGTCATGCAAAATCCATGGAACATTTTGCCATGTCACACTTGACAGTCTGAAATTGCCAAAGTGCACGGACACCTCACCGCCGTCACTACCAAGACTCCATCCTTTTCGAAGCAAATTCCCCACTGAGAGGACATTATTTGGAGCATCTGCAACAAACGCCGAAATCCAGCATTCTTTCAAGAAAGTTTTGGACGGATCATTGGTTGCGACCATGGTGAAAAACACTCGTAGACAAACAAGAGAAATTGGAAAGATCACTTCGCCTGATGCTGTGGAAAATCCCGGTCCCGAATTTGGTTTCAAACTCACGGACTTGACAATTCGGTATCGATCTACAAATCGTGCGCTCACAACAGAGGCGCTGGCTCCTGAGTCAATGAGCCACCAATCAGCATCACGATGGCTATCCGAGGCTTGCTGCAAACATCTTGTTTCATTGGAATTACTCATTGGGCATAAAAAAGGCATGAAAAACAGATTGTCTGTTTGCAAGTGGCTTGAAAACTCTGAGTCAGGAAAACTTTGATCAGCACATGAAGGAAAAACGCTGCAACAACAATGCTCAACGCTGCATGCCGACAAAGTGTCAGAGTCAAACGAGACGTTCTTGCTCTGCTTCTGCAAATGGTCAAGGGACTTTTCAAAGTTCAACACCTTCTGTTGGTACCACTGGCCAATGAAAGACTTCATTGGTGGCTGATGGTCCGTAGAACTGGATCCAGTCCCATCACCTTCAGGCGGATTCTCGCCTTCCTTGTGCTGCTCCACAAGTTCATTGATCTTGCCTTTTCCGGTACCTTTCTTTCCCTGACCACTGCCTTTGCCCTTTCCACCACTGTTGTTCTCTGGCCCCTTTTTCTCCTTGGAATCTGATCTCTTGCTATTCTTGGCAGCAGTACTCATGTCCAGCGGCTTCCCATTGGAATCTTTCTTGGCATGACAATTTGTCTTGTAATGACCTTTGCGACCACAACGGAAGCAAGTATCATTCTTTTCTTTCTCATTCTCGTCCTTTCCTGCTGAACCGCTCCTGCTGCTTGAGTTCTCCTTTCCCTTCTTGCCTTTCCCTCTTCCTTTTCCCTTTTTTCCACCATCCAAAGCACTGTGCATGTAGTGCGAATTGGTGTTTCCAGAAATCTCTGTCCAAATTCTGGAACTGGATTCATACCTCAAAGCTGCGGCTTTCAAGTCTACATACTCATCGGTTTTGGAATGAAGCATCACATAGTCACGAGCTGAACCAGTTAGGCTACGAAAGAGGATCATGCTAAAGTCCGAGGATTGAATCAACAGTCCATCCCGACTCAAATGAGTAGGCAACATTGCGAGCAATTTCTGATAACGGCTCTCTTCATAGTCAAGATTTTGGATCAGCTCAGTGATGCTGGCTGCTTTGAAAGTACGATTCACTAAAGCACTACGAAAATGCAAAATTTCCTGTCTTGATTTCAGCATGTACTCTGCCACGATAAGCCGAAGTGCTTCGAAGCCATTCTTTGGTCCGGGCTTTTCCTGATATGCCAGCAGAATTATTCTTGCTTTGGCCGTCTGACCAAAAATCTGCCGCAACATACCAAGTAGACGGGCTCCACGTGCAAGCTGCGCTGTGCTCAGCTGGTGGTTGGGAATCGCATCAAGACAACTGGCTGAAAAACGAATTTCATGGGCAAATTCATGATTGATCAGGCCAACCCAACTTACTAGGTTTTCTACAAATGATTCGATGCCCAAAATTTCATCCAAGCGTGTGCGCCATTTCGATGAATCCACTGAAGGCATGGCGGGCAGCCATCGATCTGACTTGGCCAATGCATCAAGTCCGACCGAAGCTCCCACTGTCTCCGAGCCAGCTTGATTCATGACCCGGGCCTGACTGCTCTCCACACCTGGAATGCGCACAGCTGGATTAGTGGCTGTTGGGGCACTCGACAAGTCACCAAAACCAAGTCCTCCGCCAAGAGGCGAAGAGAATGGGCTGGACAAACTCTCGATCTTCCTGGAATCTGTGGCGTGCGAAGTCGGATCAACAGGCGTGTTGCTACCTGCAGGGATTTGTGCTGCTGCATTCTGCGCAGCACTTTGCAAGGAATTCAATTGAACCTGTTGACTTTGAAACGCTTTGCTGGCAGCAAGAAGGGCTGACTGTTGTCCCTTCATCTGCTCAACCACAGTCTCCAGATTCTTTCCCATATTCACTAAGTTCGCTTGGAGTTCATGAACCTGCTTCTCAAGCGCAAGAGTTTTGGCATCTGGCTGCATGGATCCAAGGGACGGAACAGGCAACGATCTGTGACGCTCAGAGACCATCATTGGGCGACCACTTTCGATCCTTTGACGCGATCTCCCACGGTCATCAAGTTCACGAGACCGCTCCCTTCCAGAGGCCATGGCTGCACACCGGAAAAACTGGTTGTAATTCTATGTTGTCCCTATTGGGGGCGTTGTCCCAACTGAAAACTGGATCAACTACTTTCTGAGCACCACGTGCTCCGCTACCATGCGGAATTTAACAGCCCCAGGGGATAAACAGTAGGTTGTCAACCAGATACCTTTCAAGATCTTAAAATGTGAGTTCTTATGATGTCACTCCCAGTGAAATCTCTGTTCTGATCTTTTCCATAATCGCGGTGTGGCCCTTGAGCCAGATTCCGGGATGGAATTCATTATTCCATGGACAGCACATCCAGCCTTTGGCAGGATGAAAAACTGTTTTCTTTGCATCAGTTTGGGTTAGATCCAAGTCCTTCAGTTCTGTTCTCTCACAGCCTACTCACTTGGAAATTCTTGTCGACCCAAACGTTGACCTAATTAGCACCTTCTATGGTGCAAAAGTTGGTGTCAAGCAACTTCTTCTGTGTCACATGCAAAACAATGAGTGAACAGCAGTGAACGAAATTTGCAAATCAGTCCAAATTTAAAGTGGATCTAAGTGACAAATTCTGAAACTATGTCTCACTGTTCTTGGCTGAGATGGTCATTCGCTCAGACACTTGGCTTGTCTACTTTCCTGCTATCACTACGTTTCCACCACTTCTCAAGTGGCTCTTTCTGCAGTTCAGAACATTCAAGCAAACATTTGGTTCCACCAAATGTGAAGATTGCACAAAACCAAAAAAACGGAGAAATATGTGCAACTGATTATGGCTTCGCAAATTAAATCCGAGATCACAACTGCGAGACTCTCTGAACTGAGTGCACGGGCACAATCCAAATAAATCGCACTGCGCTAAGCACTATAGGTCAATGCTCGGATGCTTGTAGTTACATGTGGTTGCCGATGGCTTCTGAAGACAAGCAAATGGCATAAAGTCTAGAGTGTTGGAATCGGTTTCTCTCACATTTTCCACAACTGTTCTCAGTTGTGAGCAGCTTTCCCATCTGAAGATATTTCTGACTGTCGCAGTGGAGCATGCACTCCCAAGAAATTTAGTTCAAGCTCTCGTGACATCTGCTGCACTAAGTTTATGTCTACCGACGGATGCATCAAAGATGCACAGACATTATCAAACTAAATCTCTATGGAATGAGATCCTCACTCTTTGCACTGCACCTTTGGATTCACAATTCCGGCAGGAATTGTGCAAAACTTGGCTTATCACTGTCCAAAAATCAATACTCTTTCTCAGGAGAAAATTTCGTGTGTTCTGCACCAAAAATCAACTGTGCTTTGGCGTTTTTGATCAAGAAAATCATTTCAATTGGTGTTGAGCACCAAACGGCATATGCTTCATGAATTTAAGCCTAAGCGGCTGAGATTTTGGATCTGAAGCGCTGACACGATTGTTAACATGCACCTCTGTCCCAGATGGTGCATTATATTCACAGTCATCGTCATCGTCATCATCATCGTCATCATCATCATCATCATCCTCGTCATCATCATCATCATCATCATCGTTATTCAATTACATTTTATCATTATTGGAAATTATTGTCATTCTCACGAAAGCTAGCGTCAGCTCGCTATAGTCTTCTTGCTTTAGCACGTATTCCGGGGCTCCCCAAGGACATCACGTGATTTTTCCCGCGAAAGGGCCCCCCCCTGCCCCCTCCCCCATATATATCATTGTTATATATCATATATCAATATATCATTGTTGCATCCTCGTTGGGACGAACAATGCCGCGACACGATGATGACAGTCCCTCCGCAACTCACCTCTTCCCTTCCTTCTTTCTCCTACCCCGCTAGCTTTCGTCATCCACCCCCGGCCTCAAGTATATATATATATATTTTTTTTTTGATATTATAATATAATATATAATATATGCCTATAGGAACACTGAACTATATATCATATATATCACCTTCGCATCACTAAAGCTGAACATACCTCAACACTGACAATGGATTTCGACAATTTTTGCCAAATTTATAGGCATTCAGACCTACACAGCCTTGCAAAGCTACGTCTTAACCTGTTTCAACGGAGTCCTTGGCAGAATTCAAGGTTGGACTTGGCAGGAGTCGGGTATTTTAGAGAGGTTATTCAGCGGTATGTTCTGCAGGCTCTAAGCTTAGAATATTCGTGAGGTCTTGAAGACCAAGCTACAGCTTTCCACAGTGCCAAACCTCTGATTTTGTGAAACGTTTGCTGGCTTTCTGGTTAGATCTGGTTAGGCATGTGGAGGATGTAGACAGCAGCAAACTCAGAATGGGATTGACCTACCATATACTAGAAACATTCCCTGCCGAACTGCAGGCAATGAGCTGGTACTCTCAGACAGAGATGCACACTTCAGAGAGAAGGCACGCTATGTTTGATTGAGCCAGTCATGCTGGCATTGCATGGTATTACGGCATTTGCCAACCTATTGAAAAGCATGAACAAAATACATCCTTCCATAGGGCTGCAGACTAAGTGCCTAGTTGGTGTCATTTTCGGCAGGTCAATGAGCTGAGATCATCCACGGCCTGCGCCTTGCCCCTTCCGATGCCAGCAGCTGACATGGCGCCTTGGATATCTTGGATGGGAGGGAGCTGAGGAGCGCCTCAAAAAATCACCAGATTTTGCTGGACATTTTTTCTATTTTTGTTTTAATACTGGAAAAACCATGAGTTTTTCCATGTTTTTCCCCTGGGTTGGTGCGTGCTTCCCATTGGATTCCCAGGTGCTAGCTGCACGTGCAAGCGCTGTGCAGGCTGGATGGGAACAACTTCCCGTCCTGATCAGACCTGGATGTTTTAGATGGTAAAAGACAGGGAAAACACCATGGGAGAAGGAGACAGAGACGAGAGACAGAGCCTTTTCAGCTGATTTTGGGCTTCCCTTTCGACAGCACAGGCCAGCTACCAGCTGCAGCCCCCGAAAGGTCTATTGCCATTGCATGCCACAGGCGCCAAAGTAACGAAGCCGCGGACATGTCTCGGGTATGGGTCAAGATTTTTCGACCCGGGGCCCAGAGATCATCTAGAACTATTTAGATGGGCAACTTTTCGACATGTATAAATAAACAAATAAATAGATAAATAAACAGATATAGACTTTAACATAGATATTAGTTTTTCCAGATGACTTATGATAATCTCATCACTTTTCCGTACCAAATTTTGAAGAATCTCCATGTGTCCCTACCCTGACAGGTCCTTCATTCAGCACTGCCTCCACATTTGCGTCACTGTCTTCAGCCCAACAAGGGCCAACAGCTCAGATTGAGTTCTGGAAGTGGAAAATCCACCATTTTCAGTACTGTGAGAAAAGAGACGTACATATATATAATTATATATATATAATATTAATATTATATATATATATATATAAAGAGAGAGAGAGAGTTTTTTTTCTCCACTTTGGATTGGTTTGTCAGAATTAACTTCCTTGTGGAATTTTCAGGTATCTCGCGGCTCGCAGTTCTTATGGCTTCTGAACATTTGCTGTTGGCTCCTGACATCCTTGATGATTTTCTCGCGTTTTTTATTTTGTTTTTCGAAGCCTTGGGTGGCTGCAAATCTGAAGTGACAATCGGCTCCTTCAGAGTGCAACCCAAAAAGGTGCGTGGCACGGCCACTGCAGCAGCAAGGGCTGCTGCATGAATCAGGAGATGCATGAAAGTCAGGGTTCTGAGCAAGAGTTCATCAGTGAGATGAATGTTGGGCGAATACAGAGAGGGAACCAAATTTGCGTTGATGCGAAAAATTGAACAATAAGAAACGACAACCAACTGACTTGTTTGAAAGATTTGAAAGGATCTGCGAAGTCTTGCCTGGCTGCCTGATGTAGGTTAGGATGGTTGGGACCAGGCTGCTCGAAGCAGCATAGCCCTTACAGCACTAGTGCTCCAGAACCTGGTGGCAGGGATCCAGACCTGGACCCAAGATATTCTCAGACCGAGCCCCAAAAGAATCCAAAAGAGCCCAAATTTCTGGAGCACCGGTAGAGTCGAGCTGACCAGAAGCGCCAGGCAAAATTCGGACAGCAGCTCTGAGAGCTTGAAAAGCAGTGCTGCAGTGGTGAGGACACAGTGTCCATCTGTATCCATTTGTCCTTTAGAATCCAGGTTTACTGCACTAGGATGCAATAGGTAAATCTCAATCACCACCATCTGCGTGCGCTGCACCCAGCTGTGCTTCAAAGCAAGCATTCCAAATGCGGGTGCCGAACCGCTTCCTCCATAGAGGCATGGCGACCTGCGTGGTCTTAACACCGAAACCTGCCCTCGCTGAAAACATGATGCTTGGAAATCACTGTGGTCCAAACTCAAAGGTTTGACCGAATGGAAAATCAGACCCATTTTCTAGCCCCTTTCAGGCACAACATTGAGTCATACCTGAAGAAGTGGATAGCACGTACGGCTCTTTGGCTCCAAAATGTCGGCGCAGCTGGACATAGCCATGGCTACATCGGCTACGTCTGTGTTGACTGCGAAAGCAGAAGACTGGTCGGAGTGCTCTTCACGTTTGCTAATTGATACCCCAGACTTTCTTCGGAGTGACTCTGATTGGACCACTAGTCGCTTGGACTGGGGTTTTGGTCTCGATAAAAATGTCTCACTGGCTTTGCTGGTAATGCGGTTTCTCATAGCAAGAGATTAGCATGCTTCTTGAAGTGTCTGCCTGCGAGCAGGTCCAGCAAAGCTTTCATCCAAGCAGACCAAGAGCGAGCTATTGTCCTTGTGCGAGCAACGCGGTGTGGATTGTTCTGGCAAGAAGAGTGAGGTGATCAAAGCTTTGGTTTCAAGCTTTCTGGGACCTGATGTACCATCAGATGGTGTTCGCATGTGCCACCCTGGAATTGCAATGGGTTATGACACAGAGTTGAAGAATCCAGCGCCTGTGCCTCAGAACCCCCCACCTTACCGCCCTGAAATCTTTAGCTGATTTGACAAGATTTGACATTTCATGACATTTCTTCCTCACTTTCATCCCAACGAATCCTGGGTCAGCTGGGTCAGCTGGGTCAGCTGGGTCAGCTGGGTCAGCTGGGTCAGCTGGGTCAGCTGGGTCAGCTGGGTCGGCTTTCAGGTGGTGTGCCTATCGCTTGAATCCTCAAGAGCAGCGGCAAACGGACAACGCTCGCAAGGGCTTTGAACTCGATCCTGCACTGAAAGCAGCTGGCTCCTCGATTGAGAATGATTGAGATGTATAGCTTCAGCGGAGAGACATGTAGGACACTGAATGCCAGCGAACTAATTATATAGCATCCATATAGCGGTATGATATGATCAAGCAAATCAGGGAGAAATAGATAGATGATTAGATGTGTGCATCCGCATGTGCACATAGATTATATATGATTATATAGATACATCAAAAAACATGGAACAGATCTGACGTCTGACACGCCATCACTTGGCCCGGATCTGCCTCGGAGGCATTCAGCAGACGCCTCCGGCGAGTTACAGGACTTGCCGAACATGTCTTTAGGGGTTTTCAGCGTACGCTCGGCTATAGACACCATCAGTATCCATCAGTTCGCCGCGCGCAAAGCCAATGCAGAATCTTCTTGAGCTGAAACGACTGAAACTGGAAATGTGCCGAACCCTCGCTGCAGGAATACAGGCTTTGATAAAGGGCACTTGGCACCGTCACTCGCAATGAGTTTCCAGAAGGATAAGCTGAAGAGGATGGATAGAAGCCCTTGGATCGCCAGCTACTTTGCCAGCAACATTGCCCCGCAGCCCCTTTGCTGCAAGAAATTTCAGCAGAAGTTGGAATCATACGGATTTGATGAGAAAAATCAGAATCCCAAGGTATGATGAGATGAACCAAAGATGCGGCTTGGCTTGGCTGAACAGCTCTAAACGTGTCCAATTCTGGCAATTGTTTCCAGATTGTCCAGATTGTCCAGATTGTCCAGATTGTCCAGATTGTCCAGGTTGGCAGGAACTGGAAGAAGCTTTGCACAAGTATGCGGAAAACCTGCCAGAGGCTGGGGATGGCTGGTACACATTGCACGTTGCACGTGGCATTTCCGACGCCCGCTGAGTCGGATCCCGGCGTCTTTGTGGTCTCCGGCGTCAGCTATTGGAACCGCGAGAAGCCAAGGAGGTGGGACGGTGATGGCGTTCCCAGACTGCATGAAAAAACCCGCAAATTGTGGGTGATTTTAGGGCCATCATCACGCTGCATGTTTTTGGGGTCGATAGGTTTTAGATGGTTTGGAGCCAATCACGCGTATCTGTACATCACAAAATTTGTCGAAGAGGAATGAGGTTACCTTACACATCCTTACACTGTGTGGAGAGTATCTATTCTTCAGCTGACTCCGTCGAGGAATGCTTCTTGGAATGCCCTTGTGGGGATGATTGCGGCTGTCGCGTGTGTGGCAAGACTTTCGTGACAGTGCCTACCTTTTACTGGATACTTGTCTTGATGGATTGGGTGTTCAGCGCTTGGCTGAGGTCAGATTCAGTGTGCACTTTGCATCACTTTGCTGTTCTTTTGTTCTAGGAACAGGCCTGCCTCAATCCGTCCCTTGGATCCAAGGAAGGCCGCCTGTGATCCAACGCGAGGAAATTCCTTTGCAGTTGTTGCAGAGAATGATCCGACCTCCAGCACTTTGGCTGGTGGCCGAGCTGGATGGCCTCCCTCCGCCTTCAAAACGTACTCGGTGGACGATCTTCAAGGTTTCTTTGGATTCAAGCTGAATTTCCCCACGGAATGTCACACTGACACAGCCAACACTCTGGTTCCCGACTGGAATCAGGACCGAGGAGATCCAGTGATTCCTTCTACTGCACAGCATGGGAACTTGTCGATTGATTTGATAAACCTCGGAGGCAAACAAACGCGTCATGTACAAAGAAAAGGTGTGGTTGAGATTCGAGACAGCCTTTGGCCCCTCAGCGGATTTTCATGATGCCTTCACACTGGAACCGCCGCCACCCAAGTCTTCCGAGACGCCTGGATGGAAGGCAGACTGCGACTCCCTGATTGCACAGCAGCTTCCAAAGTTGAAGGAGTGTAGTCAGTCGAGGGCTGGGATCCAATTCCAATTCTCTGGTCCAAACAAAGGTGGCACGTTTCTCTTCAAGCTCTCCTTGACTGCCCCTGGTGGGGAGCTAAGCCACAACCAATGGGCCGCACGAGTCACGGGAGGAGCAAACACTCCGGAGATGGTGGCAATGGGAGAAGGATTTCAACTCCTTCCATCCGTTGCACCCGATTCACCCGATGGCCCTGATGGCCCACCTTCTTTGCCCAACGCACGTGGTCATTTCTATCAATATTGGCCATTCTATGCGACTGCGTTTCTGCTGGTCTTTCTTTGCCTCGCAGCTTTCCTACGTCGTGGATGTTCTCGCCACACAGTGCGTGAGCGTCGCCTGATTGTACTTGTATGTACTTGTGCCATCTTGTGCCTACTGCTTTCTGGACCAATTGAAAGCATCAGAGGGGTTGCATCCAAGTGTACCCAACCCACAGGGCATTTTATTTGCAAAAAGGCTGTAAGAGAGGTGCAAAACCAATCAACATCATGTTTTTTCCCCCTGCCAAGGTGAACTTGAGGCGGCACTTGAACGGGAGAGGGCCACAGTTCGGGAAGTCAATGCAGAGTTACAGCGACGAAGCATGTATCCTCAGCAGCAACCCACCAGAGGCATCGAGATGTGGGACCTGCGACAAGCGCGGCGCTGAAGAAAACTTGAGAGTGTCATTAAAGTGTCACTGGTACCCTCTAGTAAATTCATATAGACCCTGGCAGTCATCGGGGTTGGAAGACTAGTTTCCACGAAAGATGGGTGATTTTCGGGGTCTATGTTTACCAGAGGGTAAACTACATATCTGCTATATGTGTAGCTCATTGGTGCTCTTAGATGCTTGATCAGATTCTGATGCCAGGTCATTGCTCATGTCCGTTCAGATATGGAGATGGAGCTCATGCATCCTTGTTCCAAAAGAATTTCAGACATTTTTGTCATTTTCTTTTGGGCCCAAGTGGTTCCTAAAATGCGAATCACATATGTAGGTCTCAAGTGCATGTGAGGGTGCCATAGACTGTGCCTGCTGGCGAACGGCCGGCGCCCCAAATGGTGTCGCAACGGTGGTCATATCCCGCTCACGAAGGGGGCACACAGACAGCTTCGCATATCACGTGATGTGTAGGATTGCATGCATGAACCAATACGCACGCGCACGCACACACATGTACAATGCATAATCGATAGAACAAACATATGTATAATATAATGACAATGCAATTTTAAGCGCGCGCACACACACACACACACACACATATATATATATGTATACAAGCTGACTCTGCACGGCATGGCAGTGCTCGACGAGATGCTGAGAGAGAGAGAGAGACACATACATTACACATTAAAAATTAGAATTATTGGTATATCAAGCGGAAACGAGAAGCGGGAGATGTGGCCGCGTGAGAACGGGCAATGTCATGGCAATTTATGGTGCAACTTTTTTGGGGGGTGAGAGGCACATCCATCCGTAAGCATCTTGCAAACATTTGGCTCCTGGATCCAAGGATGACACTCAATGGGCCCAACTTACTGGTCCCTGCGGCCTCACGGCGGGGGGCAAACAGCCACAGATCACGGATCATCATACATGCGGTTAAGCCCAATAAGAACATATAACATCATAGAACATATAATGAACCACATTGAGGGTTGATGATTTGATTTATCACATATTACCATCGCAGAGCCCTCTTGCAATGCGGTGGCAGGCCTGATGTCAGCTTCGAGGCTGTTGATGACCCTCCGATCGAGATCATCATCAAAGCCATCTCCGAGAGATCCCAAAACCCGCCTTGTGAGGCCCCTGAGGCCCCTGAGGCCCCTGAGGCTTCACCAGACAAGCCAGTGGAAGCAACGAAAGTGGAGGTGAAGCCAAGCCCCAACAGAGAATCGAAGATCAAGAGGAAAGCCACGGGCTTTGTGAAGGATCCACCAGATGATGATGAAGGAAGACGAGGTTGTTGTGTTCTGATGTGAGAGGCCTGAACCCCAGCGTGATCTCCAAAGCTGTCAGTAGATCTTGGCAAGCTTTTCTTATGCAAACTCGATTCTGGACTCAGGCAAATACTCGATTGAGCACCAACTGCACAGCCTAGCCAGTCGAGGAAGTGAACAAATCCCTGGGTCACATAGGTTCATGATGGCCTTTTTCTCGTATAGTCGTATAGGTATATACATGTGTGATTATATGTATATGTATGTATATATTTATTAAACGGAATCACATGGGAATTTTGTTGTGGCAAATCTAACCATTGCCGAAATATCAAAACCAACACAGCTTGATGGCACCGGGGGCCATGGGATTTGCGGTGCGCTTGACAACTATTCCCTCGACGACTTTGCGATGTTTCCACCCTGAGAAAGTTCAAGTGAGGTGTCGAGACATGCCTTAAAGTGGCACTGTGATTTCAAAGGGACATCTTTTGTTTTGTCCGAGTTTTTAGCCATTTGACAAGATACCTCATTCGATGCTTTGCGGGAGAAGAGCCGACCATCGTTCAGTAGAAACTCCTGAAGCAGAGAGATCATTCCTCTCAAAGATCTACACACACACACATACACACACACATATACATATATACATATATACATATATACATATACATATATATATATGTATGTGTGCGTGTGTGTGTGTGTCCAAAGTATATTTGATGCATTTGTACTCCAGTGTTCCCCGCACCCAAAAGGTCAGGTTTATGGTAGGAGGCTATTCACCCCGCTTCGCGTGGGGTGGCCGCCCACACCGCAGGTTTATTTCGGTCCGTGAGAGGGGCTAAGGGTGGTGTGGAATACATCTCTATTTCAAACAGCTTCGCAGCCATCCGCAGCCCGGGCCGTCCAGGGCCACGATTTCCCCCCCCTGGGATCCTTCCAATGGGTGCTTCTTTCACTTTTCCCCCCCGTGGAGGCTTCCCAAGCTAGGGAATTTTCGCTTTTCCCCCCCGTGGGGGCTTCCCAAGCGACGGAATTTTCACTTTTCCCCGCCGTGACAGCTTCCCAAGCTATGGAATTTTCACTTTTCCCTCCCTTGGAGGCTCTCCAAGCTGCGGAATTTCAAATAGCTAGACAACGACGCCTAGATAGTCCCCCAAATCCCGTGTTCTTTGAATGTGTTTCCATGTTTTTGCAATGGTTTCCTTCAAAGCACGGTACTTTACACTTTTGTCGCCATAAAACCGGTCGAAAACATCATGTTCGACAATGCTTCCAATTCCCTTATCTCCCCAACCGTTGAAAATACCGCTATTTACAGTGTTTTCTTCAATTTTTCCATGTTCCAATGCCGGTAGCCAACTCCAACATATATATAAGAAATCCTTCCAAAACATTGTTTTTGACAGTGTTTTTCCAATGTTTCCAGTCAAACAGACGGTAATTTACACGTTTTTTGCCATAAAGGCAGTAAATCCTTCCAAAACATTGCTTTTGACAGTGTTTTTGTAATGTTTCCAGTCAAGCATACGGTAATTTACACGTTTTTTGCTATAACGTCAGTCCAAAACACTTGTTTTTGCAGTGTTTTCAATGCTCTGGCATCCAAAAACCCTGCAAAATCTTGCTATGTACAACGTTTTTTTCATTTTTGGCCGTTTTTCCATTGCCGGAAAGCTACCAAAATGACCCAAAATTCCATTTCAATACCCTCTTGCGCTCAGACACCCAAAAATCGTCGAAAAATGTCGAAAACACCACCTAATTCTGGTCTCGGTGCGAAACCGTTTTTGCCCCCCCCAGCTAAAGCTGATATAGCGACTGCTATATTAACAAATTAAATGTGATTGAGCATTTAGTGTAGCTCTTTCCCCCCAATCTTCACCGCCAAAGCGGTGTGGGCGGATTTGTTTCAGGAATTAGTTTTTGATAAGGTTTTGGGGCATTTTTTTTGGATTCCTGCTTTTCTGCTGTTCCTGCTTCTCTGCTTCTTTGCTTTTCTGCTTCTCCGCTTTGTGATTTTTCTGCTTCTCTGCTTTTCTGCTTTTCCGCTTTTTTGCTTTTCCTGCCTTTCCTGCTTCTCTGCTTTTCCTGCTTCTTGCTTTTGTTTCTCTGCTTTCCTTGCTCTCTTTTCTGCTTCTCTGCTTTTCCGCGCTTTGCTTTTCCTGCTTCTCTGCTTGTCTGTTTCTGTGCCTTTCTACTTCTACTTTTTCTTTTCCTGCAGTCATGTCCTGCTCCTCTGCTTCTTTGCTTCCTTTCTTTACTGTCTCTTTGCTTTTCTTTTTAATTTGCTTTATTTTCTCCTGTTTGTATCCTAAATGAAACCCTAGAGAAACCCTAGATGAAACCCTGAAGAAATCCCAGATGAAACCCCAAAGAAACCCTAAATGAGAGCCAACAGATACCATAAATGACACACTAAAGAAACCCTATATATTCCTTAAATGAAACCCTACTTGAATACCTAAACAAACCCTAAATGAAACCCTACAGAAACCCTAAAGAAACCCTGAACGCCACCCTAAAGAAACCCGAAATGAAATTCTGAAGAAATCCCAAATGAAACCCGAAAGACACCCTAAATGAAACCCTCAAGAACCCTAAATGACACCCTAAAGAAATCCTTACGATACCCAAAATTACACCCTAAAGGGACCCTAAATAGAAACCTAAAGAATACCAAATGACATCTTGAAGAAATCCGAAACCCTAAATGAAATCCTAAATGAAACCCTAAATGACACCCGAAAGAAATCCTAAATGAAACCCTAAATGACACCCGAAAGAAACCCTAAACAAACCCTAAATGAAACCCTACAGAAACCCTAAAGATACCCTAAATGACACCCTAAAGAAAGCCTGAATGAAACCCTAAAGAAACCGTAGATGACACCCTAAAGAAACCCAAAATAACACCCTGAATGAAACCCTAAAGAAACCGTAAATGAAACCCTAAAGATACCCCAAAGAGACCCTAAATGACACCCCCAAGATTGCTAAAGAAACCCACATGAACGTTCGAACTACCAACATGTAGCAAATACCATGCAAAATGGAAGGTGAACATGCAGAAATGTAGCAAATACCATGCAAAATGACAGGTTCTAGTTCCAAACTGTTGCAAATACAAGGCAAATGGTAGCAGGAAAGAAATCCAAAAAATAATCTCAAACCATCCAAACCTTATCAAAAGAAATCCTAAAACTCTTCTTCACCCTATAGTGTCATGTATCCCTCCACCCTATGGCCTGGGAGTATGGGAGTATCTAGGTAAAGCAAAACCGCTCCTTCATGTGGCCTGTGGTGGGGGTGGGGGTGTGATACGTAATTTACCATCAGTTTACAGATACTATATTATATCAGTACAATGTGACTAGTGGTTAGATGGGTGTGTGTATATATATATATATACGCATACCTACATACATGCATACATACATGCATGCATGCATACGTACAGAAATACATACATACATGCATGCATACATACATGCATGCATGCATACATACATACATACATAAATACATACACACATACAACATGCATGCATGCATGCATGCAAATAAATACATACATGCAAATAAGCAAACAAATACATACATACATACATACCATAACATTACATTTACATTACATTACATTTACATTACATTACATTACATTACATTACATACATACATATCGCTTACATATAGTTTACATATCGCTTACATATCGCTTACAGATCGCTTACATATCGCTTACATATCGCTTACATATCGCCTACATATCGCTTACACATCGCTTACAAGGCTTATATGTAGGTATAGGTAGATAGGCTGAGAGGAGTACATAAGTGTAGTGTATTGCTGCGCCAGGGACAATATAGTAAAGAAACAGTACGGAGAGTTTGTATGTGGTAGCATTGAGCGCGCAGGGCGGGTTCCAAGATTTCATTCCGAAGACGCGAAGACGCGAAGACGCGACGACGCGAGCAGCCCCCCGCAGCGTCGCTCGCGTCTACGCAGCATCGCGCCACTGCGAAGAAGCGAGCAGCCCCGCCAGCGGCGTCGCAGCGTCGCAGCGCCACGACACCGCAAAGATGCGAAGACGCGAGCAGCCCCCCAGCGGCGTGGCAGCGTCGCAGCGTCGCGAAGACGCGAGGAGACCCCAGCGGCGTGGCAGCGTCGCAGCGTGGCGAAGTCGCGAAGACGCGAGGAGACCCCAGCGGCGTGGCAGCGTCGCAGCGTCACAGCGTCGCGACACCGCGAAGACGAGAGCAGCCCCCTCAGCGGCGTCGCAGTGATCACGGAGTCCCTCAGTTGCATATTCGAAAATCAAAACGCGAATGCCTTGCCTTCTTTCTTGCGTTTTCTTGCTAAGTTTTCAATTTTCCCTGATGACACCTGCGGCGATGCCTTCAGATTTCCCCGAAGCTAAGAACCTTTTGGTCCTGCAATCTTCTTCCTCCTCCAAGATCTTGTTATAGAAAGCCTGTCGGGGACACAGGCTGATTGAAATATCTGTAGATGTCTACCTAGATGTTGTCGATATAGACAACCAAGACTGTGTAGTATTCATAATATAATATCGCCTACCTAAACTAGAACCACCCACGACTGTGTATAATTGATCTCAGCACATGCCAAATCCGTATGAGCAGATGCACATAGCACCTGGCCTTCAGCTGCTCCGCTTGGTCACCGTCGGGCTATAGGCCTGGTGCCAACCCAATTCGGAAAAACCAAAATGTTCTGAGATCAGAGACCCAGTCTCAAAATTACAGCATCAATTTGCTTGATGAATGCACTTAATGCAAGAGGCCAGAAAAATCACACATTGAAAAAAATAGGCGGCTTCTTAATTGGGATGAATGTCCATGTCAAGGACATGCGGTTGCGCAAAGCAGAGCTGGTGGCACCTGGAAGGTTCTGACCGGATTCCAGACGGCCTCCAGGTCACAAAACCACCCAAAAAATCCGCCCACACCGCTTTGGCGGTGAAGGCGTGCTTATTGGGGGGCAAAACAGCAACACTAAATGCTCAATGACATTTGTTAATATAGCAGTCGCTATATCAGCTTTAGCTGGGGGGGGGGCCCAAAAACGGTTTCGCACCGAGACCAGAATACGGTGGTGTTTTCGACATTTTTCGAGGATTTTTGGGTGTCTGAGCGCAAGAAGGTATTGAAATGGAATTTTGGGTCATTTTGGTAGCTTTC